CACACCAGAGCACCCAGGTCTTTGGGGGGGGGGGGGCCGGGGGGGGGGGGGGGGGGGGGGGGGGCACAAGGGGGGGGGGGGGGGGGGGGGGGCGTGTACCAGAAGAGGAGACGCTTGGCTTGCTGGTTTGTTTGGGTGCTAAATTTAGCAGCTTGTGAGTGAGGGGGCCACGGGCTCACGCTCTGCTCTCAGCACTGGCTGAGTCGAAACCCCAGGTGCTCATCTAAAAATTGTCTCGAAAGTTTCCGAGCCGGTATGGCTGACTGGAAATGAATGTCTAATAACTGGAATTTCCTCCTTTTCTATCACATGTCGTGTTTGGCTCTGACCTTGTTTTGACCGAGGCTGCAAGGCTCCTCAGCTGGGCTGACTGGGCACAAATGTGGGTACAAGGCTGTGGGATGTGTGTGCGAGAGACGGAGACACAGACCAAGGCTCAGAGACCTTTAGTTCTTCCAGAAAAGACTGGTCCTTACCCTTCGTGTCCCCAGCCCAAAGCCCAGCACGGGGTGGACACCAGACTCTTTGGTGACAGCGTGCCTGCACAGGGAGGGGTCCCCAGGCGTCTGTGGGCTGGCAGATGCAGGAACCCAGGGATAGAAGGAGGGACATCTGAGTTCTAAGGGAACTTTCTGTAATTCCTTGAAGGTCATCTTTCTGTAGAGTGAGGCCATAAAACCTGATATGCCCAGCGGGGGGTGGCTGTGAGGGCCAAGTGACCTCACACAAGGGAGCCCCCAAACGGGACTGTCTGGCGAGGCCAGGATCCCTAGGCTTCTCAGGTTGGGTTTGCCCCAAATGTTCAAAACCAAACAGGGGTGGCCTAAAAACAGATTCCTCATCCCCCACCAGCCGCCAACACTCAGCCTTATGCCCAGTCTAACCTGCTGTGCCCTTCAAATCCTCTCCCCCACTCCCAGCCCCCCAACCACCGCCCAGGGAGCGTGCTGGCCAGACCTCACCCCAACCGGCCCCCATGCCACCGGTGTGTCTCTGGCCGGGAGTGGTTTTCACCAGCATGTGCCCCATGATCCCTCCAGCATCTGAAACCCCTCAGACACCCCCTCCTCTCAAAGCAGCATTTGCCCATGCATCAAATAAGGCTCACAGGATTGTAAGGGAAACTGTCTTTGTTGAAATACAGTTCTCAAAGTATTTAAGAGCAAATCTGTAATCTGGTCACCTATGTGCCTTCTTGCAAATGTTTCAAGTAACAAGATTCAACGGCAAGACCTAGGGCGGGGACGTTGGGACAGGTGTGATGGTGTCTCCAGTCACCAGTGGAGCTGCCATGAGGTGCCTGCATATCTGTCGGCGAGCAAGCCCCAGGGACGTGTGCACCCCTCGGGGGGCTCGCTCGTTGCCCCCGCGTGTAATGGAAGGAAACACCAATCTTGATTCAGAGTTAGAGAAAGTGAGGTGGTCATTCCATCCAGTTGAAGCACACAGATGCCCCTGGATTCTGTTCACAGGCCCAAGGGAAGGAGCCTGTCTAGAACACAAATTGGGTCTAGTTCATCCTTCTGTTTCCAAACTTAGCAAAGCCTGGAGCGGGCAGCAGGTGTTCCCGACACAGGGCAAGGGAGCCCAGCCCCACCTCCACGGTACAGTATGGACAGACCAGGAGGTCTGGTGTCCCGAATACTGAGAGTGGAACCAGGCACCACCCCCCTACAATTTCCTGGCGAGGGCTAAGGGTAGGTCTGACCTTGATCATGGCTGGGGGTGCGCTGTCAGGGACACCCTAAGCAGGAAGGAATGCAGACCTTCAACTAAAGCTTGAGCTGGGGAGGCCTGGCCAGAAACTCACCTAGAAAGGAACCCCAGACACTCTCAGCTACCCTCCCCATGCACCAGACGAGAGGGAGGAAGGCTGTGTTGCCTCAAGGGAGAGCCGCTGGGCTCATCCTGGCTCTCTGCACCCAAGGGCAAGGGGCCTGGGAGGGATGCCCTGTGCTACACACCCCTGCTGGGGCTGGGTAGGAAGCCCAGGCGGCCAAGGGCTGCTGCCATCCAGGAGGGCTCCAGGCCCGGCAGGAAGGGTGGTGGCCGGGCGCCCGGCAACATTTGCAACGCCCCATTCCTGCTGCATTCCAGGTCACGGCTGGGGAGCAGGGTGGCCAGCTCAGCCCGGGAAATGTGATTTCTTACCCTGCACCCCCATTCAGCTCTTAGGGATGGTGTGGAGAGGAGTTATATGGGAGCACCAGGAAGGAGGCCCGCCGGATGCCCGACACCCCGAGTTTGGGGCTGGCGCAGCAGTGTCTGTGCAGCCTCTCGATATGGGAGGGAAGGCAAGAAACATGGGTTCATCTGGCCCCATTCCTTTCATACTTGATTACTGAGAGCCTCCTCTGGGATCTGCGGCCCTCGTCCATTCGAATTACCATCAGCCGCTGGTTTTTCTAGGGATTTTCTTCGCTCTTGCTTTCCTTTTCTTTTCCACACAGGCTGTGTGTGCGTGTGTGTGTGTGTGTGTGTGTGTGTGTGTGTGTGTGTGTCCATGCACACCAGCTTCAGCCAGTGGATGCAGAGGCTGGGAAGACTTCTAGCACCCTCTAGTGGTGGGAAAGGTTTCACAGTTTCCGTGCCCGTCTGTGTATTTGGGTGTGTGCACACATGGGTGTGTGTTTTGGGTAGGTGTGCATGTGTGTGGAGGGTGTCAGGTCCATGGTAGGGCACGCAGGAGTCCAGGGCCCTCATCCACATGCATATTCATGGGGCAACCCCCTCCCCATCTCGCTGCCCCAATTTCCTCCACCACCCCCAGCCCCACTGCTGGCCTTGTTCCCTGCAGGCTGACTACCATCTGCCCTCAGTGCACCCTCACTCTTCAAATCCCCCCAGGCAGGCTGCGGCCAGCTTGTCACATCCGGTGCCCCGCAGATCCTCACCCTCAGGCCCACTGACCCACTTTCTAGTCAGAGATGGGGGTGGGGGACCGGGACCCTGTTCCCCCAGCCCAGAGTTCCGCAAGGCTTGCTGACATTAGTCTCCCAGGATTACGCCCACCCTGGTTCTGCAGAGACTCGGCCTCCCCTGTCCCCTCCAGAGCCACAGACTTTCCCCGCACCAGCTGCTGGAGCAAAGAGCTATTGATTTCCCTCTGTAAAATAACACGGGGCCAAAAGGGCAGGTTCCTCTTGGCTCCTGCCATCCCCCCAAGTCACCCGGGGCCTTCCGAGGCCTGGCACTTCCTTGGAGGTTCCAGACCCCAAAGTCACATCGATAAATCCAGCATTCTCCCGCAGGCCCCGGGTGGCCCGTTCAGGGGAGAAACTTCCCTCTGTGGTTTTACTGGAGCCCCCATCAGCAGGGTGTGAGTCTGGCTGTGCCGCTCACAACTGTGGGAACTTGCATGGGTGTTTCCAGCTGTAAAATGGGCGTGGGTCTATATAAAATCAGAAGACGGTCACGCGGACTGTTTATGCTGACGTACGTGCCACGAATTCATGAGATGGGATGACGAATAGTCATTGCAAACGTGGCTCCTTCCCGGGTAGGAGAGAGAAGGGAAAAGGCCTGGGGTAGGGTACACCTGTCATGGTCTCTTTCTTCCATCAGATCCGAAAAAACACCTGTAGGACAAGTCATAGAATTCAGGGGAGCAGGAAGACAGGTATGGGACAGGTCTATTCTACTCTCTAGTTTTCTCTGTGTTTGAATTATTTCATGAAAAAATAGTAAATGAAGCAAGAATGTTAACATTCCTCAGAGGACAGCTAGGAGGGTGTGTGCAAAGCACCCGGGCCAGAACCCTGGGCTCCCCCCACCGTCCATCCCACCGCGCCCACCACCTGCTGCCCAGCCCCACCAGTCCTGACCCGGGGCCTCACTGTCCCCCTCTGCTGTCCTCTGCCCCTCCCCAGCCCTGGGACCTCCAGCTGATCAGCTCCTCCTTGGGCCTGAATTTGCTTTTGCTTGCGGGGTGCACGGATTAGCAACAGACCTCAACCCAAGAGAACGAAGTCACAGGCTCAGAGTGAGGAAGCGTTTCCCGGTATGTGACACGCAAGTGACGTTAGGAACTCCGCAGACTTTTGAAAAATAATATCATGTATAATGATATGTATGTGATATATACAAATAATATATACGTGATATATTAAAATACATATACATGCATATACAGATAATATACACTATAGTATGAGGAGGAGACAGGAGACAATGGAGATACTTATTTTTGATCTCTCTGGTTTTGGCGAGCAACGCTGGCTTCCCCTAGACTTTTCTTCTGTAATCAGTGTGTTTACATTGAAGAACAGGGTGGGCACATCGGTGCCGGTCAGGACCCTCTGGGCCAGCCAGGGGTCCTGCCTCTGCCTGCTCATCAGGCGATGGGCAGCTACGTTTATACACAAAGGCTTGGTACCACACGTGGCCTCCTTTCTATCTGAGGACCCAGGAACGACCCATGTCTCTGCATCCCTCATTCCAGGGGGGCCCGTGGGCCTCATCACAGCTTGTCTGAGCCCGGAGACCCTACAGGTGCCACGGTGGGATATGGACAGGGCCTGACGTGGGGAGGGGTCCAGACCCTCAGGAACTGGGCCATTCCCCCTGCCTCACTCATGGGGGGACTGCAACTGAAGCCACCTGCCGGGCATCACACAGGAAGCCCCAGGTAGGGCCCAGATGATGGAGGTCACTGAGCGGGAAAAGGCAGAGAAAAATTCTGGTGTTGCTCCCAGCCTCCCAGGCAGTTCAGGTCAGGCTCAGCCCTCCTGGCCCCTCAGCCTGTCCCTGCTTCCCATCCAGGCAGGACGCCTGCTCCCGGGACCCCCGCATCTCCCCACCCGGAGCCTCTGTGAAGCCCCCTCCTCACTGGACCCGAAGGAGACCCTCATTCTCCCTTGGCCACAGGGGCGGGTCCCACGCTGCCCATGAGATCTGGGCCACGCCTGGGGAAGCTCCACTGGGGACTGTGGTTCCTGCAAGTCTCGTCTCCTCCATGGGCAGGACACAGAAACACCAGCTCCTGAAACCTCTTGAAACCTCGAAACCTCCTAGAAGATAGGTGCTCCCACAATCTCCAGCTTTGGAGGAGGAAACCGGCCCGGAGGAGGGCAAGTGGCTTTCCGAGGCCTGGAGACATGGGAATGATGGCCAGGTCAGTGTCACCCATAAATGCTGACTCTGTGATGTGCCCTCCCCACCCTACCCGCCAGAGCACATGGTGACCTGTGCACGCTGGCGGGAAGGGAAAAGCCAAACGTGCCCATGGGGATAATGCCCTTGAAACTTTGGGGAGCACCTGCCACCCTGGCCAGCCCATGCGTCCCTCCTCCAGGAATTGGCTGTGGCACTGCTGGGTCCCCAACCCTGCCGGAGAAGCCCCCATCCTGGGGCTGAGCCCACCTCTGCCCAGGCACGCCCCAGGCCCCCACCCCCCGTCGTGGGCTGAGATATAAATTAAAATTCAATTTCATTAAGCCAGTGAGCAATCAATCCCAGGCTCTGGCTAACAATGCCGGGCAGGGGGCCTCGGCTTCCTCCGTGGCTGTAATTCACCCAACCTCCCCCGCTCTTGTTCGCAAACTGCTAGAGCAGCACTTCCCACCCAAATTTATGGCGCTGGCAGCGTCTGGGGCCTGAGTTACAGCTGCAGGTTTGATCGGGGACTGCATTATTCTGCATGTAATCCTCATGCCCTGACAGGCGGGGAAGGGCCCGTTGTTCTCCCAGAGCTGGGCATTGTTCCCCTGCTGGCCGGGCCCCACTTGGAGCCTGGGATCCTGGGTCCTGGGCCCCAAACCACCCAACCCCAGGCGGAGACCCATCATCAGAGAGCTCGACCCACAGTGGCATTGATGCCCCACTGAACACGGACCCATGCAATTCTGTAAAGGGGGAGGGGGTTGCTGGAATCCCATTTCACAGATAGGCAAACTGAGGTACAGAGTTCTGTGACCCGCTGGGGGAGAGCCAAGCCTCAGCCCCAGGCCAGCTAACAGCAGAGCCCACCACTGAGCCTCTGTACCAGTGAAATTCACTTCCAAGGGCACACCAGCTATGTTCATGCGTGCCTGCTGCTTGTCATAGCCGAAAATCAGAGCAAAAGAACATATTCAGCAGTCCACAGAGCACGGCCATCACGGACCCATGGGATTCTGGGCTTGTGAAAAAGAGGGAGGCTGCTTCGTGTGTCCTGACATCCAAAGGTGTCCCAGCCCGTGGAGGGAGAAAAGGAGAAAATTACCCTTCTGTGTAATACATGTATGATGCATAAAGCACATACTATATGTGAGCGTATGCACACGTACCAATGTGTGTACGCATGTATGCAGGCCTGTGCATGCACAGAAAATGTGCCTGTAGATACCACAGTGTCAGCGAGGCTCACCTCTGGGTTGCAGAACTGGAGGGAGGAGGGGGTCCGCTTCCCGCCCTGCAAAGATCTGAACGTTGCAGCCAGCCCATAATACTTCTGTAATGATAAAAACCATAAAGCTTTTTTCAAGACCCATATGCTTCCCCGCAGAGCATCTGGCTGCTTCTAGAAGTTTCCATAATGCCGTCTGGGCGTCAGATGTTCACACCAGTGCATAGAGGAGAGTTCAGCCCTCTGTGCCCTCCCCCACCCTTACCCCGCCCCATGCACACCTTGCTGGAACCCTGGGCACCTCCTACAAGGACTGGGGCACCTCTGACCTTTGGGGGGTGGCCCCGGGGAAGGGGGGATGATGGCTCAGGGCTGCAGAGCTGCAGGACATGGGGACTGGCCTGAGCTGGAAGCAGAAGACAGGGAGGAAAGAGGGTGAGGCCCAGAAAAAAACAGGGATCATTCCTACCGTGTTAGGGAGCTCCCAGCTCATGGAGCAGTGCTTGCCCCGCTGTGGGGTGCCAGAAACGGTGGTCCCCTCCCCATTTCATATTGTTCTTTTTGGAGAACCAATAGTCGTTAAAGCTTCTTTCACATCCCAAGGCTACAACTTCCAGATCTGTGCCCCCCATGGACTCACAGGCTTAGAAGCCAAGCAGAACAACGTGTCCAAAGTGTCAGCCTGTGCGGTGGTCCTGCACTAGAGCCCGCAAGACAGACACACTCAGAACGGGGTCTCTCTCTCCATCATCAGCTCCACCCCAAGGGCAAGACCCCTTCCCTCCGTTGGACAGAGAAAGGGTCTCCCGCCATTCTGCTCAGGCTCCCTCTGCCTGTTCACCTCTCTGCAGCCAGAGGAATCTTTCTAGATGCAAATATGGTCTGGTCCCGCCACAGCTCAGAGCCCTCCAGGGACCCCCCAGCTACCCCAACCAACTGCTCTCAGGACAGCATCTCTGCTGATTGGTTTCCAAAACCCTGCCCAGTCTGCAGGGTCTGGTCTCTGCACCCTGTGCCGACTCTAGCATCTTACCCTGTACACACACACACACACAAACACACGCATGCACACTCCAGCTGTGCTCTGCCCCTTCCTTCCCCTTGCTGGCCCTCTCCTGTCTGGCTAGTTTCTACTCTTGGGACTCAGCTCAGGGTGCAGGCTCCCAGACATCTACACTGTCAGTGGGTTCCCTCTCCTTCTGGATCTACCACTAGTTTCCGCTTCCCGCCCCCTCGGGTCAGGCTGCACCACGTGACCAGTCGTGGCCAGTGGGCTGTGCTGTTTCCTAGATGAAGCATTGAATTAACCAAGGGAGAGACTCTCGTGATCCTTTCCCTTCACAGACCAGCACATGTTGGGAGTGCGGGGAATGGGGATGTCAAAGACCAAAGTCGCCTGATCACTACCCAAAGGACAACTACCTGAGAGACGCAGGGACTCACAGCCAGGTGCGTTACCAGCACACAAAGCTTTGTCATTCTAAGTGATGACGTTTGGGCTATAACCATAGCCCCAATAGACTGTCATATACATCAAGCCAAGCTTCCCTCTAGAATTTCCTGATCACCAATCCCTCTGTTCCCACCACAGAGTGAGGCCAGCAGCCCTGACTCTGGTGCCCACAGCCCCTGAGTGCCCCCAGTACACCTCCATACGCTGGGTTAGCCCTGCCTGCTCAGGGCTCTGCGCCTGACGGCTACACGGCTGAAAAGACTCTAGATCCTGCCACAAGAGCCCAGCACAGAGGAGGGGCTCAGTACATGATTAATGAGCTGATGACCAATTGGAAATGAGCTGGGCTCTGAACGGTGCGCGTCCCAGGTGGGGGTACGGCACAACCGTGGTGCAGAAGCCAAAACAGCCCAGCGAACGGGGCTCTGAAAGACAGTGGGCCGGTGTGGGGGCTTGACCTCAGCCTGGAAGTTCCAGACCCCACGAATCCCACAGGCAGGGCACCGGCCAAGGCCCACTGATGCAAGTGGGCTCAGCTCCGAGGACCACCAGCAGTCTCACCCTCTCCCACCCGGGTGCCGACTCTCCCCAGGTGACACTCCCAGAGCCCCTCCGTGCGTCCTTTGGTGAGAGGGTGGACCGCGGCTTCTCCCCAAGAGAAACATCCCCGGGTGGGGCCACGCTGGGCATCGCTGCTCCCTCGGCTTTCTTGTGAGTTGAAATGTATTTTTTCCCCCCGTTCCTAATTAACTCCCTGCCACCCTCCTTGCAGTAAAGCCTGATTTATCTCTGCCTCTCTGCATGCAGGGGACGGGCTATTTAATCTCTGCCGCGTGGACTCGGGCACACCGTCTCAATGAAATGTACATCCCTCATCCTGTTAGGAGCCTGCCAGCTCTCTTCCATCTCCCTGCTGTCCGCAAGCCCGGCCGTCCCGGACCACTGCTGCTGTAAATCATGGTCTCTCCTCTATAATAACACCCTCTGCCCTTTGGCCTCCCCTGCACGGCTTGGACTCTGCCAAGAGACAGTCAGTGGCTCAGTCCCATTGGCAAACCCAGCAAGCCGGAAGCTGGATCCCGGTATTCCCCAGCCCGGCCCCCTGTGGCCGGTTCTCTCCGAGCTCCACCAAAGCCCAGAGGTCGCCGTTGGGCAGTTCCCACATGCGCCTCTCTGGGGGATGCCCGGTCAGGGGAGCTTGCTCTGCCCACTGCAGGGCAGACTGGGGTGCCAGGAGTTAGCACGCCAAGAGCCATCCCCATCCATGGAGGGGCAGGAGCGGTATGGAGAGCTGGTAACTAGAAAGGAAAGCAAGCCCCGATGGGTTTTGTTCACCGGGTCTGTGGTGTCAGTACTCCTCCACGGCCCATGTCAAGCCAGCCAGGTGCTGCTGCTGTCGCAGCTGCTAAATGCAAAGTTCAGGCAAGATGGGGATCCTGGGTCTTCTACACTGGTCTGAGCCCGCTCCGCACACCCTGGAGGGGAGGGGCTGGTTTCAACCCCAGCTGCTTACCCTCAGGGGGTAGTTCCTAGGCAAGTCCCACACAAGCTCAAGCAGGAAGGAGGGGACACTGAGGCTAGGTGCCCAAGGGTGAGTGGGCACCCCGCTCCCCGGCTGGAGAGGAGGGGGACAGAGGCACCCAAGCTCTCAGCAGAGCAAGGAACGTGGACAGAACCATGGGCAACTTTCGAGGCTGCCTGTTTGGCTGCTTGAGAAACCGTATGCAGAGCAGGTGGGTCTTGGCCAAAGCCATACCGTGGCTCCCAAAACCGTCCCCGGCATTGCACATATACCCTTCACTGCCTGCAAATGGATGGATTTCTTTTCCAGAAGAATGAGCCTATTCTTTTTCATGAATTCTTTTTCAAGAATTCTATTTCATGCCAACCACCCAGGCATTTTCCCACAAAGCACAAGGTGGGTCTTGATGCATTTTTTACCGACAATGTCAGGTAGGTTCTTCGGACACTAAAGGGCGGGCGTGCTGTCTGGCCCCACGCGGCCCCCGTCTCCGTGCAGGACCCAGAGCAAGCCTGGGGGCAGGAGTCCACACACCTGTGTAACACAGAGCTGGCCCTAGACGGTGGCTTTCCCAAACTGGAATGGGCACAAGATCATCAGCTGAGCTTGGGAAAGGCCAATGCCTTGACGGCACCCCCCAGGACTCCAGTCCTATTGCTCTGGGCGGGGCCTGAGACTCAACATTTCTCATGAGCTCCCAGGAGTGAGCTCCCTGTGCCCAAGAGAGAGTTCTCAAACCTTGTCTGAGGGGATCAGGCCATATATCAGCGGAAGAGCCCAGAATGCCAGCACGAGCTTGACAGTAGTCTGACGCTGGTTGGTGGGCCCTGGGCCAGACCAGTGGGGAGGTTTGGTCTGAGCTGCACTGGCCATTGGACTCAAAGGGAGTCAGTAGTCAGGATCAAAATCCTGTATGTGGCCCTTAGGCCCTGCAAGACCAGCCCTTGCCACCTTCACAGCCTCGCCTCAAATAGGATTCCTGCCACCCGCCCCCCACCTTGGGCTCCCACAAAGCTGTCCTTGGTGAAGTCCCTCCATGATGTTCCGATCCCCTGCTCTCTGACACCCTTTTCTCCTGGCTAACATCTCAGCTGGGGGTCCCCCCTGGAGAAGCCTCCTTGACCTCAGGACCCTGCTGCATCGCCTGTCCGTCTGCTAGCAGAGGGACGGCCCTCGCTCTCTCTTCAGGAGGCAACTGCCAAGGGAGTGCCCTGAGCTGCTGGGCCCAGCTGGAGGCAGCCCTGGGCGTGGAGAGGCTGCCATTTCTGCCCTTCCCACGACTCCTTGTAACCCCCCCAGCTGGCCTGGCCAAGATTGTCAGGAGCTGCCCCCTCAGCCGAGGCTCTCTCTACCCACCCTCCTCCTTTCCAGGCATCACATCATGCTCTCAAGCGGAGTGTCTCCTCATGGGCTGGTCTGCTACCCAAACACTATTTTTGGCGAAGTGTCCATTCAAATCATTTGTGCATTTTTTATTAGGTTGTTTGTTTCTTTGCCCTTGAGTTTAGAGAGTTCTTTATATATGCTGGATACATGTCTTTGTCAGATGTGGGTTTTACGGCAGCCTCATTTTAACACCGAGGCCCGGCCTCAAGGGTGGATCTCTGTGCTCCTCAAAGTCAGCCATTAATTTGGAAAACAAACCTGCAGCAGCGCCCACCCAGCGGCGAGGGGCCAGGGCATCCTGGGAAGCTGGGGGGAGCAAGCGCTCACCAGCCGGGAGGGGTTAGCCAGGTAAAGGAAGAAGAGAACGTGTGTTGAGAGGAAGAGAAGGAGAGAACATTCTAGACCGCTCTGTCCAACAGGGTAGCCCCTGGCCACACGTGGCTATTGAGCATTGGACACGTGGGTCGTGAAACTGAGCAACCAAGTTTTTTATTTTCTTTTAATTTGAAAACTGACACTGTTCAGTTATTGGGAAACTTTTAAGTACGTTCGGTGCACCTGGGGTATGCGAATCTCTCTTCCGGCTGTAGGTTTTGTGACATCTAAAGGCAGGTCAACTCTTTCTCATTAAAATGTAGCACCAGAGCTGAGATGCCTTACACGCGGAAAATACACACCAGACTTTGGAGACTTAAACCTGCATCATCAATAACTTGTATATTGATTATATGTTGCTACTGCTCACACATTAAGTAAAATATGTTCTTAAAATTTATTCTCGCGGTTCCTTCCTCCTTTTTGAATGAGGCTACCAGAAAATTTCAGGATACCTCCGCGGCTTGTGTGTGCCGCATGCATGCTGTTTGCAAGGTGAGCAGCTCTGCTCTAACCGCGGGAGCAGAAGCCCAGGACGCCATTACCGCCCGCGCACTGCCTGGCACGCACCTGCCCCAGCACACGCAGGCAGCCACGGCAGGGCTAAGCGTTCTCACGTCTAGATCCGAGGAACGAGGCCACGCCCCTGCCACGTGGAACAGGTGTGTTTGTTTTACCGAGACCACGTGGTCCTGGGAGCGTCAACCCACCGGAAACACGCAGGGTGCGCGCATGCGCACACCCCCTTTCGACCCCACGTCCCTCCCTGGCAGGGCAAGCAGCCATCCCCTCGGGGGAGAGAGCTTAGAAAGCCAAATCTTGACCATTGTGGCAGAACAAAACATGTGGCTCCAAAATCCCTGGAAAGAAACTAAGATCCGGAGAACGCATTCTCCCTGCTCCTAAACTAGCCGGAGCCCCTTCTAGCTGGGGAAGGAAAGTGGAGAGACAGAGGGGAAAGCACGGGGTTTGGATGTCACTGGGGGTCGGACAAAGGGTTCTGCAGCCTGCCCCCTCCGGTGGGAGAGGAATGAGAAGTCCCCAGGACTTGGCCAGCTGGGGACAGACGGAACCCAGGGAAATCTGGTAAGCTGGGGGGTGCCGATACGGGAGGAGCTGGTGGGGGTGGGAGGGCAGAGGGGACAAAGGGCACGGAAGTAAGTAAGGGACAGCGAACAGGCTACCGAGGAGGAAACTTTCTGAGGCCTGGACACCTCGGGACAAGTAGAGCAGGGGGATGAGACATGCCCCTGTCCTTTTAGGGGACACTGGCATCAGGAGCAACCAATGACCAGGCACCTGCTCAGCACCATAATTCTATATAACCCCCTAGAACATAACTGCCACCTCAGGGCCAAAAGAAGGGCAAAGGGACCCTCTAAACTCTTGAGTTTAAATGACCCAGTTTACCCAGAACTGGCCAAGATAGCGTTTTCTGCCATGGGTTCGAATACGGGCTCAAAGTAGCCCTCAGGCTGAGTTACCGAGAAACACAGCCCTGGTTTTGCTTCGCCTGAGTCCCTGATGGAAGAAATGCATCCCCACCACCCAGGTCATGAGACAGGTTCCTTCCCAGGGTGGCCTCAGAAGCTTCCAGAACTCAGCTGTGTGGGAGAAGGCAGGCGTGGCCAGACTCCTGGGGCTGGAAGCACCCACCTCGAGCTACAAGCAGGGAGAATTCCCTTGGAGCTGTGTCAGGAGGCTGACCTTGCAGCCCTGGGCTTGCTGAGCCTCTGGAGGCTGGGGCGGTCTGTGCGGGGGGTAGGGGTGGTGGCATGCAGTGGGCTGATGAATGGCCTTGCTCTCCCAAGCAGTCAAGACCAAGCCTGGTGGACAGGCGTAGCGGGCAGCGGTAGAGCTGCTGGCTGGATGGGAGTGACAGCCACAGGCACCCCTGGTCCCGACCCCAGCAACCCCCTCCCCGTGCCATCCTGCTTTCTCACCTACAGCTGCCCCTGGCCAGGGAGGGGGACAAGGCCCGGGGTCCCAAGACACTGGTCACCCCATCTGGTTCTGGAGAAGGGAATCCAGGCACTAATGAGAACAAATGGCAACCTGGAGAACTCATTTGTGGCTCCCAGATGAGATTTTCACCCCCACCTACCCCTCCTCACCCGCAGTTCAACAAAACCCGCTCTGGGTTTCCTTGTGTGGCGTGAGCGCCACCTGGTGGGTGTCAGTGAGTATTTCGAGCCATGTTCTCCAAGAGGCCAGACCAGATCAGGGCCAAGGTGAGACCACCCACCCAGCCAGCAGCCGCTCAGCGGGAGCCTGAGGACTTGGACACGGTGGCAGCAAGGTCTAGCTACAGGGGCCACACCTCCCAGTCAGGAGGACTTCATGCATTCTTTCCCCCAAGCATGCATTGAGTGCCCACTGCCTGCCAGCTCTCGGGGATCTAGAGATGAACGAAACGGTCGCATGCCTGGCTTCACAGAATGTCCACCTTAATGGGGGAGGCAGAGAATGAGCGTGTAAATAGTGAGATAATTTCATAATGTGTTCGGTGCTGTGAGAATTCTCGAGCTCAGGAACAGAGTCCAAAATGCTTCTCAGGGTCTTCAGTGGACCTCGCTTTAGCTTCATCC